TCACTGTGCTGTGCTGAGGAGCAGTACCTCAGACTTGTTGCCAAGCATAGATTGAGTGCTTTGAAGGTGCCCATCTAGTTTCTGCATTTTAAATAGCAGGATTATGCTAAGTATTTAGAGAATAGGGCTGGGTCAGGGAAGGCAGAGGGAGCAGAATTTGCTAAGCAGCACAGCACAGAAGAGGTCCTGCATGACAAAAGGGTATTGGATCCTCTGGAACCAAAGTTACAGACTGTTGTGAGCTGCCCTGTGCGGGCTGGGAATTGAACTCAGGTCCTCGGGAAGAGCAGCCAGCGCTCTGAACTGCTGTGCCATCTCTCCAGGCCCTGCAATCTGTATTTTTTAAACCACCAGGGATAGTTACATCAAAATAAAGAAAGCATTGAGAAAATACCTTATTATATTTATTTGTTGTGTGGGGGGTTGGACCTCTTGATTAAAACTTGATTTTATCTATTATCTATATTTTTAAACCACCAAAGATAGAAATTTGTTTCAAAATAAAAGAAAATTCTAAATTAGTTATTTATTTTATGGTGTGTGTGCGCATGCGCGTGTGCGTGTAGTATGAGTGTGCACGTGTGTACTAGCACACACGCCATGACAAACCTGTGGAGGTCAGAGGAGAAGAACTGCTGAGAGCTGAAGGTTCTGTCCTTGTGGGGCTTGGCGACCAAACTCAGGTTGTCATGCTTGCTCGTAAGTGCCTTTACCCCCTGAGCGCCTTGCCAGCCCAAGAAAACATTTTTTTTAATGACTTATTTGATTTAAAATTTTGTGCGCATGAGCTCAGGGACCAGAAGAGAGTGTCCGATCCCCTGGAACTGAAGTTACAGGTAGTTATAAGCCTCCTGACATGGGTGCTGGGAGCCAAACTTGACTCCTCTGGAAGAGCAGAAAAAATGCTCTTAACAGTCTCCCTAGCTCCTCTTCCAACCCTGAGCAAACGCTTTGAAAGGAGAAAGTCGTTTGTGAAGTTTGATAACCCGCGGAGTCCTCAAGACAACGTCACTGCTCAGCGAAGGGCAGGGGAAACCTCAGCAGACTGAACGAATCCTTCGATGCTATCACAGCCACTTTCACCCCACTGCCGTGCCAGCGAGAACTGTAATTCTCAGAAAGGTGATACCAGTCGTTCTGAGCCCAGCCCTGTAGCGTAACTTCTCAGAGATGGGGAATCAGTCACGCCCACCGTGCAGGAACATGTTCCCATCTGTTCTCTGACAAACTTTATCCGAAGGGCCCCGAGGATAAGCAAGGCGTGAATTCACTTCCCAGCCCATCCTCACCTCACACAGGCACACTTGATTTGGACGCTTGATTTTGACTCTGGCTTGCCCCTTGTGTGAATGTCACATTGGCTCGTTTCAATGAGGAAACACTGGTCCTTTTATACTGCAGGTCTGTACAAATGCAACATTGTGCATTTGCCAAATCCCCAAGAGACTCGAAGAACTAATTAATCTATTAAAGCTTCTCTTGGAAAAAAATCAAACCTTTAAGACGGGAAACCTGGGTGGGTACCATCAGGGTGTTTTGCAACGGGGCTGGCCAGATTGCTGCAAACGATTCAGATGGCTGTGCTCCTGTCTGGAGGTTCATCCAGCTGGGAGCACAGGCTAGGAATGCACATGAGAAAGCAGATGTTTTGAGACTACAACAGAGGAGAGCAACGCTGGTGGTCACCCGGCCGGTGACTATTGTCCTCTGCAGTGGAACAGTACACCAAAGCCTGTTAGAACTTCATCAGAATAGAGGGGTGGGGGTAGCAGCAGGTGGGACCTCAGAACTCCAGGGTCTGTCCCTGTAGCCTCCCTAACAACCCAGTTGAAGGTTAGAGCTTAACTCAGGGGCCAGAAGCCCCCTCTCTGTGGCTTTTGCTGGAAGCCACTGCTGATCTTGGTAGGAGGGTCACATGATCCTGACAGAAAGTCTCCCAGGATGAATGTCTACCTCCTGAGATGACAGTTAGCCGGGTTGGGTAGGCTCAGTTTTGCTTATTTGATTGCTTATTATTTTTCTGAGTTTGTTTGTTTGTTTGTTTTGTCACAGTCTCATTATGGAGCCCTGGCTGGCCTGGGACTTGTTATATAGACCAGGCTGGGCTGAAACAGAGATCTCCCTGCCAAGCATAGACATTAAAGGTATGTATGCCAGTCATACCTGGTTTATTATTTTTGAGACCAGGTTTCTAGCCCAGGCAGGCTTGAACTTCCTATCCAACCAAGAATGATCTCGAACTTCAGCTCCTTCTACTTCTACCTCCTGAGCCCTGGGTTTATGGCACCACATCACCACGCTAGGTTTATAGAGTCCCGAGGATCAAGTCTGAGACCTACATGCTAGACAAGCCCTCTACCAGTTTACTTGGAAGCTATAGTCTTCCTTGTTCTCCCCAGACCTTAAGGGTATGAGAATCCTGGGAGGCCTCTCCCTTTCAAGGCTTTACAGGGGCAAAGAAACAGTCAGCCAGCTCAGCCAGCTCCAGTGAAAACGATGATATGGTCAGAATGGCGGGAAAAACAGAAAACAGGGGACCACTGTGCATCCTTGTCTCTGCAGAGGAAGAAGGCATCATGGGAGCTCCCATCCAGGGAACCTCCTAGTGGCAGCTTCATGGACAGGCACAATGCTCTTCAGAGGACTAGATTATGTGGTTTGGGTCTCATGGCTGGAGTCTTTTTTGTTTTGTTTTGTTTTTTTGTTTTTGTTTTTACTCTTTTGGATCTTTGGGGGACACACTAGAGACTTATTCTTTCTTATGAATGCCCGACCTTAGCTTGGCTTATCCCTAGTCAGCTTTTCTTCAATTAACCCATTTATCTTTTGCCTCTGGGCTTTTACCTTTCTCTGTTTCCATATATCTTCTCTTATTCCTTCTTATTCTGTGTTTGGCTGTGTGGCTAGCCCCTGGCATCCTCCTCTCCTTTTCTGCTCTTCTTGAGATTGATCAATCTTCCCTCTTCTTTTTTTTTTCTCCTATTTATTCTCTCTGCCTGGCAGCCCTGCCTATCCCTCTCCAGTCTGTTCAGCTCTGTACTAGACCAATCAGGGGTTTTAGACAGGCAAAATAACACAGCATCACAGAGTCGAACAAGTTCAGTATAAAAGAATAAAATGTAAAAAAAATGGAAAAAAGAAAGCATATTTAACAAGTGGTGCTGGCATAACTGGATATCATCATGTAGAAGAATGAAAACAGATCCATATCTATCACCATGCACAAATTTCAAGTCCAAATGGATCAAAACATAAAACCAAACACACTGAACCTTGTAGAAGAGAAAATGGGATGTACACTTGAACACATTGGCATAGGAGACCACTTTCTAAATATAACCCCAGTAGCACAGACACTGAGAGAAACAATTAATAAATGGGACCTCCTGAAACTGAGAAGCTTCTGTAAAGCAAAGAACATGATCAACAAGACAAAACGACAGCCTACAGAATGGGAAAAGATCTTCACCGACCCCACATCAGACAGAGGTCTGATCTCCAAAATATACAAAGAACTCAAGAAATTGGTCATCAAAAGAACAAATAATCCAATTTAAAAAATGGAGTATAGACCTAAACAGAGAGCTCTCAACATAGGAATCTAAAATGGCTGAAAAACACTTAAGGAAATGTTCAACATCCTTAGCCACCTGAGAAATGCAAACCAAAACAACCCTGAGAGTCCATCTCACACCTGTAAGAATGGCCAAGATTAAAAACACTGATGACAGCTTATGCTGGAGAGGTTGTCGGGTAAAGGGAACACTTCTGCATTGCTGGGGGGAATGCAAGCTGTTTCAACCCTTTTGGAAGTCAGTGTGGCGATTTCTCAGAAAATTAGGAAACAACCTTCTGCAAGACCCAGCATTACCACTTTTGGGTATATACCCAAAGGATGCTCAATCGTCCCACAAGGACATGTGCTCAACTATTTTCAAAGAAGCATTGTTTGTCATAGCCAGAACCTGGAAACAACCTAAATGCCCCTCGACTGAAGAATGAATAAGGAAAATGACACCTTGAAATTTGCGGGCAAATGGATGGATCCAGAAAACATATTTAGTGAGGTAACCCAGACTCAGAAAGACAAATATCATATGTACTCACTCATAAGTGGCTTTTAGACATAAAGCAAAAAAAAAAAGTGTACAATTCACAATCCTAGTGAAGCTAGACAACAATGAGGACCCTAAGAGAGACATACATGGATCTAATCTATATGGGAAGTAGGAAAAGACATGATCTCCTGAGTAAATTGGGAGCATGGGGACCATGGGAGAAGGTAGGAGGGGAGGGGAGAGTAAAGGAGGGGAGTTGAGAAAAAATATATAGCTCAATAAAAACAATAAAAAATAAAAAATGAATGCAACACATCTTTGCATCATTAAACAAATGTCCCACAGCACAACCAAGTGTAACACGTCTTCAACTAACATTCCACAGTATGCAGCACTCAAGTTCAAATCTGAATAACCCAGTGACCTCCAGATGGGCTTTGGTCTGTAAGATGGGCACAGTGCACAACACACGTTAGGGAGACTACTGCTCGTCAGTTCTGCCCAGAGGCTCTTTCTGCAGCCACGCACAGCCTGCTCCCCACCTGCACCGTCTCCTGCAGCATCCCCCAGGCGTGAGTGTGACTACTACACACCACGATGCTGTCTCCGGAGCAAAGGAATGGAAGTTGTCAGTTCTGGTCAAGAGAAGGCAATGAGTCTGGAGAGATGGCTCGAGGTTAAGACTACTTCCAGAGGCCGCAGGCTTGATTACCAGCAGGAGCATGGTGGCTCCCAACTGTCTGGAACTCAAGTTCCGGGGAATGTGACACCCTTTCCTGGCGTCTAAGGGTGTCAGGCGTGTAAGTGTCGCACAGACATGCAGGCAGGCAAAATATCAACGCACATAAAATAAAAATAAGTAAGTAAGCAAAATAAATAACTTAGTTACCATGGCATGGCCTCTGTTTTGTTTTGTTTTGTTTTGTTTAATGGTTTATTTCAATTACATAAATAACAGTTGTGGAGGTTGCATTAGCTGTAATCCCAGCACTCGGAAGGCAGAGGCAAGAGGGTTGCTACAAGATGGAGCCAGTTTCGTGAGTTCCAGGCCAGCCATGACTAGTGACACCTTGTCCCAAAAAACAGGCGCATCCTGCCAAACGCTTTCTTCCTTAAGTGCCGGCCATCTGGTGGTGAGTGAATGTCACACTCACACCTGAGGACGTCTGCTTGCTCTGTGATGCTCTGGAAGGGTTAAACAGCAGTCTCGTTTCTTCTTAGCTCCTCCTTTTTCTGGTACCTCAGTCAATCCAGCTTCTCTGTGCCCTGGGGCAGCTCCATGGCAGAGGCCTCTCCTCAGTTAGCCAGACTATTTGGCCAGACTTCGGCAGGAAGACACATCGCACGGTCTGGGTCCAAAAGACTGCCTCTGAGCAGGGTGAGGTTGGCATGGACCGCTGAAGTGGAGTGTGAGATTCCAAACTGCTAATTTGCTAAAATAATTTGGGAAAGTGCTACATAAAAAGCTGACGGGAGAGGAGGTAGCATTTCTGAGATTTGTGGGAGGGCCGAAGTCCAGGCCCCTGGAGGTTATGTTTGCTAATTGCCTCGGTGGCTGTTGGCCACAGAATACTTATTCCTCTGTTGGCCCAGGAAGCCAGCCTTACTCGCTGAGAGTTTTCGACCATCATTCACGCTAAACTTTGGGTTTGATTTTTTAGCTACTAAAAATTGGGCATCATAATCTTTCCCCTCCCCAAGGATTCACAGGAGATTTTCATGACTGTCTTTCCAACCCAGCCTGACTTTTCCGTACACAGGCCCAACGGAGAAGAGAGGCAGGAAAGCAACAGGAACTGTCTCCTGGACCACTGCCCAGCTGGTAAGATTATCGCTGAACACTGACCCCAGATCAGCCAATCTCATCAGCAGACCAGTGGCATATGACTTGGCACAAAAGAATGTCTCTCATTTCTGTCACAGTCATTCTCTCTAGACCTTAAGCAGAGAGAATAGGACACAAGATAACAGTTGGGGACAAGGCGGGAGGCAAATATAACAATTTAGGGTGCTGCGGGTCTGTGCGGGCTACTTTTTATGTCAATTTGACACAAGGCAGGGGCATCTGGGAGGAAGGATTCGTAATCTAGAAAATGCTTCCCTAGGATTGCCTGCAGGCAGCTGTGTCGAGCCTTTTCGTGATTGATCCCATCCTGGGCAGGCGTCCTCTGCGGTGTAAGAAAGCAAACTGAGCAAGCCGCAGAAAGCAAGCTGTAAGCAGCTCTCTTCCAAAGGCCTGGGCTGCAGCTCCTGCCTCCAAGGTTCTTGCCTTGAGTTCCTGCCCCGACTCCCCTCAGTGATGCAGGGTGACCTGAGAGTTGTAACCTGAAATGAACCCTTTCCTCCCCAAGTTGTTTATGGTCATGATGTTTCTTTACAGCGATAGAAACCCCAACTAAGACACGACCAGAGGCTGATTTTATATAAAATGTGTAGAGCCTGGGACTCATTTTTTTGTTTGTTTGTTTGTTTGTTTTTTTGATACCTCAAGTAATTCAAACATCTGACTATCTACCCCATTTAATTTAATATATACTTGATCACTTTGGACAGAACACTTAGACCTCACCTCACGCCTCCCACTTGAAGCTTTACCCTCGGATAGAGCCTGTGCTGTGCTATTGATGGGTGGTACTTGGTGCTCCAGAGGCAGCTTTGTTTTCACTATTTTCTTAGGTAGATTGCTAGCATAGGGCTCACTAAACCTAAGACGTAATTATCTTCCTGTTTATGACTGCATGGTGCCTTCTATTGGGTTGTATAACTGTAGTATAATTGATTAACTGGGGATGTCATTTTCATCTCAGGATTCTCAGCACTGGGGGTACCATTTGGGAGGTTGGGGAGATGGCTCAGTGGAAAAACATCTGCCTGGAATACATCAGGACATGGCTTTGGTCCCCAGTAGTGATTTAAAAAGAAGAAGAAAAAAAGAAGTCAGGCTTGGTGGTATACCACATAGCATATTACACACATAATACTAGCATTCCGGAGACAGAGGCAGGATCACGAATGAGTTCAAGGCCAGCCTGGGCTATATAGCAACACCTTGTCTCAATAACAAAACAAAACGAAAAGCCAGGCCTGGTGCAAGCCTTTCATCTCAGCTACTCCAGAAATGGAAACAGGAGTATCTCAAGGCCAGTCAGGTTAACTTAATGAGACATGGATTGAAAACAAAAAGCTAAAAGAGGGCTTGGATATAGCTTAATGGTGGTCCATGCCTACCATTGTTCAATCTCTAATACTGTTCAATCTCTAATACTGAAAAAGCAAGCAAAGCTACCATATGGCATGTCAGAAACAACCTTATTTTTATTTAGTTAACACACACACATACCTTACTCTTATTTGTTTTTTTTTTAACCAACAGAATGTAAGTATCCAAGGGCAGAAATGTCAGTCCACACAGTCTGTTGTTCATTGGCTCAAAGTTATAAAATATGGGCTGGAGAAACGACTCAGTGGTTAAGATTACTGGCTGCTCTTCCAGAGGACCTGGTTCAATTCCCGGAACCCACATGGCCACTCACAATTATCTGTAATCCCATTTCCAAAGCCTCTTCTGGCCTCTGAGGGCACTGTATCACTCAGTACACAGACACGCGTGCAGCCAAAACATCTACATACATAAAATAATAAAGCTGTTTATAAGGTAGAGACTATGTATATATTATACACTACCCTTTCGTCTACAGTTGTGATTTCTTATATTTTCAAATGTGTGTTTGAAATGTTCACAGCACACAGGGTCTACCTCAGTACCTCAAAAGTTGGGTTTTTTTAAAAATATTTTTTCCTTATTTATTTATTTAAAGAATTTCCACTTCCTCCCCTCCTCCCAATACCCTCGCACTCCCCCCACTCCCTCTCTTCCTCCCTCACCATTCCCAAGAGCAGTCAGGGTTTTCTGCCCTATGGGAAATCTAAGTTCCTCCCCCCTCCCTCCAGGTCCAGGAAGGTGAGCATCCAAACAGACCAGGATCCCAAAAAACCAGTTCATGTAGACGAAACAAGACCCAGTGCCATTGTCAATGGCTTCTCAGTCAGCCCCCATGTCAGCCACATTCAGAGAATCTGGTTTGATCACATGCTCGTTCAGTCCCAGTCCAGCTGGCCTTGGTGAGCTCTCATTCAATCAGTTCCTCAAAAGTTGTTTTTTATTTTCAGGAAAAAAAAAAACAGACTTACGTCTCACTTAACATGTCTGGACATTATGTTTTGTTATTATTCACTGGACAGTCCAGTATATTAACTACTTACATGGTAGCTGTATTTTACTAGGTACTATGTACAACCGAGGGAGGACAAGGTAGGGAAGGGTGTGGGTTATATGCAATGCTATACTGTTTTGAATTTTAGGTGTTCTTTATATATTCACTCCCTTTTTTAAGAATGTGTGGGTGATTAGCCTTCATGTGTATACTTCACCTGCATACACTTCTTGGGGGCCAGAAGAGGGCATCAGCTCCCCTAGGACAGAGTTATTGACAGTTCTGAGCTGCAGTGTGGGTGCTGAGACTCAAACTCTGGTCCTCTGTAAGCAACCAAACGTTCTCAACTGCTGAGCCATTTCCCTAACCCCTACATATGTTCTTCACATACTCATAAATGTTCTAGGTGTTAATTTCTTATGAAGCGTGTATTTATAATATTTCTCATCCTCCTTAGGCTGTCACTTGTCATTTGCTGTACAAGAGTTTATCATTTTAATGTGTGTACTTTCTTTTTCTGTTGTCGTTGCTCTTTTTCACATGTACTTCTGGTGTCCTAACCACTCCAAGTCCAATGTCGGGAGCATCTTCTGCTGACCCTTTTCTCCTGAGGTTTAGTGTTTATGCGTCAACCACTGAGTCAGGTCTGCACATGGTATCAGATAAGGATATGACAGTGTTCCCGGTGCAGTTTGTTGAAGTCACTGTCCCTTTCCTGTCAAGTGATCCTGGCACCCTTGTTGGAAAGGGGTTTCAACCATGGTTCTGAGGGACTTGAGGTGAGAAGGTCACTTTGAGATAGAGTGCGGGCTGCAGTTGTCTCCAAAGCAGCCATTGTCTCCTTCCCAGAGCCAGAAGGGTGGGGTGGGACCCCTGACAGCACCTCCCAGGTAGAAGAGGCCTCAGGCAGCACCCAAGGGCTCCGTGTTGGGCCAGGCTACTCCCTCTGGATGCCAGCCCAAGCAGTCTGGCTTGGGACTGCCCAGACCGGTTTGTAGGCTTCTGTTTCTTGGAGCTGGTTCACTTAAACACAGTCTACAACCAGCACCCACCCTCTTCTTTCTCTTTCTTTCTGCTTCTCTTCCTTCTCTCACTTCTTCCCTTCCTCAATTCTTTTCTCTCAGCCCCAATGCATGTGGTTCTTACCACACACCCCTGACCCCAGGTCCTGGCCACTGACCTTTGTGTTATCCTGCCTATGTGTGTGCCCTTCCTCCCCTGGGCCCCCTGCCAGGCCAGTCAGGTTCCAACCAGAAGGTTCCTATGTTTTTAATGGATATAAAATTATCGATAATAACGCAACCAGTAACACTAACAATAACAATTGCCATTTATTGGGTACTTACCAAACATAGCTTACATGCTTCACATTGTTAACTACCCACAGAAGACCTGTGAGGCCAATATTATTATCATATTTCTGTGATAGAGGAGAAACTAAGACGCATGGGCTCACATTCTGTGCCCAAGGTCACATAGCCAGTGAGGGGCATGGTCAAGAGTCGTATGTTGCCTGCCACTAGACCCTGATGCCCACCCTCACTGCCTGACATTGGACATAGCTCTGTGTGTGTGTATGTGTGTGTGTGTGTGTGTGTGTGTGTGTGTGTGTGTGTGTGTGAGAGAGACTTGGGAGAGAGCTCTACCAGGGATAAGTGCTGAGACTTTATAGTCCCCACTCGATACTGATGGTCTCTATAGGGGGCCATGAAAGGCTAAGGAGCAGACAGAGTTAGGCAGCCAACAACTGAAATTTCTGGAACACAGCACCCTACCACTCACAGGCTGAGCCTGATTCTCTCCTCTCTTGGCTAGACACACTGATACTGCCTTCCCGGCAGGTTCAAGCCTGCCCATTCTGAAGGCATTCCCTCCACCAGGCCTGTGTACAGCAGGGAACAAAGACGTAAATAAGAGGAGCATCCCCTTCAAAGTCCTGGTGCTGCTTTGGTTTCTACTGCTGTGATAAACGGCACAACCAAAAGCAACCTGGAGAGAAAAGGGCTCTTACAGTCCACCATGAACTAAAGTCAGGGCAGGAACTTGAGGCAGGAATCTGGAGACAGGAACTAAAGCAGATGCCGTGGAAGAATGCTGTTTAGTGGCTTGCTCTCTGTGACTTTCTACTTTCTTTTCTCTCTTTTCTTTTCTTTCTTTCTTTCTTTCTTTCTTTCTTTCTTTCTTTCTTTCTTTCTTTCTTACTGCTTTTTGAGAGAGGGTCTTTCTACATAGTCCTAGCTGTCCTGGAACTTAATCTGTAGACCAGGCTGTCCTGGACCGCATAGAGGTCCACCTGCCTCTGCCTCCAGAGTGCTGGGATCAAAGGTATCCACGACCACAGCCAGTATTGCTTGCTTTCTTATACAGGACCACCTGCCAGGAGTGGCACCACCCGAGGTTTGGGCCCTCCCACATCAATTATGAATCAAGAAATTGCCCACAGCCTTGCCTATAAGACAATCTAGTGGATGTGTCTTCTCAGTTGAGAGTCCCTCTTCCCAGATGACCCTAGTTTGTGTCATGTTGACAACAACAACAGCAACAAAAAAACCTAATTACCAAAGTCCTCTTGGTCTAAGTAGAGACAGTGTAGACAGTCACTGAGGAGGAGAACATGGAGCCCTGGCCCCTCGCAGCCCATCCACCACCATGGTGTGTGTGTGTGTGTGTGTGTGTGTGTGTGTGTGCGTATCTCTTCCTTTCTCTATAGTAGTCACCCTCTGTGACTGCTAAACACTGTCACCGCAGCACAGAATGAATGACAGCCTACTTCTATGCACAGAGGGGGTACATGTGCACATAGTACTGACAATGACCCAGGAAGGGCCTTACCTGGGTCCCCAGAGGTGAACAAGAATTTACCGTGGGAAGAAGAGCAACTGTATTTGAGAGGGCCCGGATTCACATGTGATGGCTGGGAAGGCATTTTAGTGTGACTAAAGAGTAACAAACTAGCATTCAGGATGGGGTGGCAGAGCTAAGTCCATAGCAACATCACTAGACTAAGAAGGCCCTTTCCCTAAGGGTAGGGTAAGGGAGTGCCATCTAAAAACAGGCCTCCAAGAGTGGGGTGAGCCCTGTCGTGAACTGCTCAGTCT